CCCTTTCTTTTTTGAGACAGGGTCTCACTCTGCCATCCAAGCTAGAGTGCAATGGCACGATCATGGCTCACCGCAGCCTAGACCCCCTGGGCTCAGACAGTCCTCCTGTCTCAGCCTCCTGAGTAGCTGGGACTAAAGGCAGGCACTACCATGCCTGGCTAATTGTTTTCTTTTTTTGTAGAGACGAAGTCTCTCTATGTTGCCTGGGCTGGTCTAGAACTCCTGGGCTCAAGCAATCCTCCAACTTCAGCCTCCCAAAGCCACCATGCCCAGTCTGTAACAGATTTCTTAATTGTTGAGAAATGTGTTCTCCACAGTGCCATCAGACTCTCTGGACTCAGTAGTAATGCGGCATCACTTGTTATTGGTTTTGATTACATAAATACATCCAAAGTATGAAACACTATGCCTTGACCCCCACGTCTGTGAAGCAGAAAAACACTGTCAATATTTTTGCCTGCTAAGCTGATATTATTGATTACATAACAGTTTACTTTTTTCGTTTGTTCTTTTTTGAGTCGGAGCCTCACTCTGTCGCCCAGGCTAGCGTGCAGTGGCATGCTCACGGCCACTGCCGCCTCGACCTACTGGGCTCAGGCAATCCTTCTGCCTCAGCCTTCCAAGTAGCTGGAACCACAGGTGCGCACTCCCACACCCAGCTAATTTTTTGATTTATTGTAGAGATGAGGTCTCGACAAGTTGCCCAAGCTGGTCTTGAACTCCTGGGCTCAGGCAATACTCCTGCCTCCACCTTCCAAAGTGCTGGGATTACAGAAGTGAGCCACTGTGCCTGGCCAACGATTTACATATTTAAAGCAACATTCTCACCTCTTTATAGAGCTTCTTAAAACTTGCCTCTGGAAAGTAATTTCCCTTCAAGAAAAACATCCTCGAATAGAAAATCCACCATTATTTTGAAATGGATTTTAAACAGGGCTATAACATTCCTAACCTTTCTCAAGCTTTTACCTGAGAGCATGGCTCCCTGCTCCCGTTCCCTGCCCCTGGGAGGTTCTGCAGTGATGCTGGTGCCCGAGTGTCCCTGAAAGAAGAGAAATTAGGCGGCAAAGAACCCCCCTTCTGTGTCCTTGGAGATGGTGACAGGTGGTCATTTGAAGAAGGAGCTGCTGCTATTCTGATCGAAGGCCCTGCATGTCCCCAGGTGCACTCGTTTGACGGGACCAAGGAAGCCGCAGCTGCTTTGATCGACCTGGGTCTTTACATAGGGTTCAACGGCTGGTAAGTGCTTCGGCTGTTTCTTTTCACTTTTATCTAGGCGGATTTCTTAAATGGTTTTACAGTGAACTGCTGATAAAGATTTGTTTTCATTACGGTTTTGTTGTGTTTTGCATGGATCTTTGCCTGGGAATTTCAGTCATTATTTACATAAGAAACCAAACAAGCTGGGCTCGGTGGCTCAGCCTGTAATCCCCGTGCCTTTGGGAGGCTGAGGCGAGTGGATTGCCTGAGCCCGCAGGTTCGAGACCGCCTGGGCAACTTGGTGAAACCTCATCTCTACAAGAAATCAAAAATTAGCCGGGCGTGGTAGCGCGCGCCTGTAGTTCCAGCTACTTGGAAGGAAGGCTCGCTGGAGCCCAGCAGGTCGAGGCTGCGGTGGCCGGAAGCGGCCACTGCACTCCAGTCTGGGTGACAGAGTGAGACTCCAACTCAAAAAAAAAAAAAGGGAAACCAAACAGTACATTACTGCTACAAGCTAAAGCCCAGCAGTTACAAACGCCTCCCCTGTGTTCTGAAACCAGGAAGCAGTTTCGTGTCGACATCAGCAGCTAGCCTTCTCTAACAATCCAGTTTGTTCTCGGGTCACCTGGTCCCTTGAAGACATGCGTTCACAGCCTCTGCCTATACTTATATCCTGTGTGACTGTGGGTGAAAGGCTGGTGTTTGACAGTCACATATCTCTGGAGGCCAACAGGACGAGGCTCCAAGAAGTGGAGGGGTGCAGCGTTTCCCGGGCGTGCGAGCTGTGCCCTCAGCTTCTCACGTGTGACCCCTCTGCTGTGACGCCCCACGGAGCCTCACACGCTCGTGCCGTCAGCCTGCCCTGTGAGGTCCAGGGTTTATTTTGTCAGATAAGCAAGAGCTTTTGCCAGTCGCCAATGTCCTGTCACGAGGTGTCAGGGGCCCTTTAAATATTTAAGTTGCAAAAGAGCAGGAGACCTGCTTTCCCTTGAGTGTTTCATTCTCTGAAAAGTATTCACTTTTCTGATTGTATTAATTTGGACTAAAATCTTCTTAGGGAAATAGGATCATGGAATTACTGATTTGCTCTGGATTTCAGAGTTTTAATGTCCTGGGGGTTTTTATATTTGAACTAACGGTTTACTTGCTCTGTAATTAACATGCAGAGGCATGCATGCCTAGGTATTGGAAGTCAAGCAGTTGGAAGCGTCTTGGAAGCACACACCTGAGTCCGAGGCAGCCCAGGCTGTGGCCGTGGTCACGTGTGCAGACTGAGCCCGGTCAACCCACCGTCTGCTCTGGAGGCGAGTGGGCGTCCTGGTTTCCATCCCGTGCTCGCCCATTCGGTGCTCCCCCCGGCGCCCGCGGTGGGCTCCTGCAGACCCACCTTTCCATGAGTATGTCTGCATCAATCCTGCGGACTGCAGAACCCCAGCAGACCACGGTTAACCTTTCTTGCACCACTCCTGTCTTCCTGGAGCAACTTCACTCGTGTTTCTCTCAAAACCGGAAGCCCTCTCACCCTTCTGCAACTGTGTGAAAGTCTGTTTTCCACATGCACAGACCTATCTGATTGTCTACTAGCTCTATCAGTTCCAGACCCGTCCATCTTTCTGATCAGTTTGGACTAGTGACTCGTCCCTGATAGAACTTTTGTTTGTACATTCTATGTGTTCCTTTTTGGTTTGTTAGTTCCTGAGGAAAAGGTTGTAGGAAGTAAATTTTTCAAAATTTTGCCTGTTTGAAAATGAATTTAAGCTGGGTGTGGTGGCTCACGCCAGTCATCCCAGCACTTTGGGAGGCAGAGGTGAGAGGATGGGCTGAACCCAGGGTTTTGAGACCAGCCTGGGCAACTTGGTGAGATCTCATCTCTACAATAAATCAAAAAATTAGCCAGGCGTGGTAGTGCACACCTGTAGTTCCGGCTGCTTGAAAGGCTGAGGCAGAAGGGTCACCTGAGTCCAGCAGGTTGACACTGGGGTGGCCATGAGCATGCCACTACTCCAGCCTGGGTGACACAGTGAGACTCCGACTCAAAAAAAAAAAAAAATTAGCTAGATACAGTGGCATGTGCCTGTGGTTCCAGCTACTTGGAAGACTGAGGTGGACAGATCACCCAAGCTCAGCAGATCGAGGATGCAGTGGCTCTGAGTGTGCCACTGCACTCCAGCCTGGCCAGCAGAGTAAGACTCCAACTCAAAAAAAAAAGGGAAAAGGAATTTATCCTACTCTTCCTCTTAAAAGTTTGCCTGGGCCAGACACGGTGGCTCATACATGTAATCCCAGAACTTTGAGAAGCTGAGGCAGGAGGATTGCTTGAGCCTAGGAGTTGGAGACAGCCTTGGCAACATAGTGAGATGTCATCTCTACAAAAACTCAAAAAATTAGCCAGGTTTGGTGGTGTACACTTGTAGTCTCCACGACTCAGGAGGCTGAGGCAGAAGGATCACTGAGCTCGGAAGGCCGAGCCATGGTAAACGGTGGTTGTGCCATGCACTCCAGCCTGGGTGCCCCCAGGAAAGAAAAGTCTACCTGAATAGTTCATGAAAGGTAGGGGCACCTCAGTTGTCAGCTTTTCCGGGCTTGCAGTTCTAGGTGAGAAATCATTTTCACTGAGAATTCACACTGCCCCGTCAGCAGGCTCCTCGGTGATGAAGACTCATGGGTTGCCACTCTGATTCCAGCCCTCTCCCCAGGGCCCACGCTTTTCTTCCTGGGCAGGTGTCGGTTCCCTCTCTCTGGCCCTGGGAGGTTCGCAGGGAGGTGCTCACCGCCCTCGGTTCCAGGCACATGGGTCTTTTTTCTGCTCTTTCTTTGGACATACAAGACTGATACCCTGAGAGTCTTGTCTTCTTATTCTGGGACTTCCATTTCTATTCTTTTTTCTCCTTCCAAAAAAGTGCTTTGTTTTTCAGCTTTTTCTGTAGAATTGCTTCAGCTTTTGTTTTCCATCTCAGAAAGCTTTTATTTTTGACACTGCAGGCCTCTCGAAGGATGGGACTTGGAGAGCGGCTTTTTTTTTTGAGTCAGAGTCTTACTGTGTCGCTCAGGCTGGAGTGTAGTGGCACGCTCATGGCCACCATGGCCTCGACCCGCTGGGTGCTGGCGATCCTGCCGCCTCAGCCTTCCAAGGAGCTGGAAACACAGGCATGTGCCACCACACCTGGCTAATTTTTTTTATTTATTGTAGGGACAAGGTCTCGCTGAGTTGCTCAGGCTGGTCTCGAACCCCGGGCTCAGGCAGTCCTCTCACCTCCGCCTCCCTAAGTGCTGGGATGACAGGCATGAGCCACCATGCCTGGCGGAGAGCGGTCTTCTGCTGCCCTGCCTTTACTTCCTCTCCGTCCCTCTTCCTCTCTTGGCCTCATCGTGACAGCCGGGATACTCAGAGGGACTCCTGGAGGTCGGGCCCCGCTGTCTTTTCCTGGGCTGGTTCGGTTTCTCAGAAGGGACCCTCCAACCTGCTGGAGGAGTGGGAGGGGTTTATGATGCCACTGGGGGTCTCCCCTGGGCCCGCCCCATGTGCCCGCCTTCTGGTCCCTCTGATGCAGGCTCTCAAGACACCCCACACCCCTCTCTGTACCAGGGCACAGGCAGAGTCCAGGAGCCTCATTATCCTTACACGGACTCCTCAGACGCCTCTGCACGAGCACACCGCCTTTCCCCACACGTCATGCTGTGCCGGGCTCTCGGGTGCCTTGCGTTGGGCAAAGAGCACCCAAGTCACCCAGCCCCTCCACAAGTCGTTTATCATTGTGCCATGCACGGTCAGCGTTACATGCCGCCACAAGGGGTAACACCTGTCTCCTAATTTCATCAAAAAATCCTCTGTATTTCTTTTTCTCCTTGCTAGTTTGGGACAATTTTTCAGGAGAAGGTAGGTCTTTATTTCACCAAACTTTTCACAAAACAACAGTTTCACAAAACATCAATCTTTTTTTTTTTTTTTTTAGTCAGAGTCTCACTTTTTTTTTTTTTTAGTCAGAGCCCAGGCTGGAGTGCAGTGGCACAATCACAACTCACCACAGCCTCAACCTGCTGGGCTCAGGCAATCCTTCCGCCTTAGCCTTCCAAGTGGCTGGAACTACTGGCGTGGGCTACCACTCCTGGCTGATTTTTTTTTTTTAATGGTAAAGATGAGATCTCACCAAGTTGCCCGGGCTGGTCTCGAACCCCTGGGCTCAGGTAATCCTCTTGCCTCAGCCTCCCGAAGTGCTGGGATAACAGGCTTGAGCCGCTACTCCCGGCCACATCAGTCAATCTTAGATGTTTATTTTGTTTTGTTAATTTTTTTACTATCTCACTTGTATGTAGCTGTCTTAATATTTCTAAATGATCTTGAGTTTGTTAAGACATGGCTTTAAACTAATTGGAAGAGGTTCTTTTTCTTCCTGCATTAATATTAGCTTCAGAATTAATAGGTTGCTGGGCATGGTGACTCACGCCAGTAATCCCAGCACTTTGGGAGTCAGAGGTGAGAGGATTACCTGAGCCCAGGGGTTTGAGACCAGCCTGGGCAATTTGGCAAGACCTCATCTCTACAATAAATAAAAGAATTAGCTGAGCGTGGTGGCACATGCCTGTGGCTCCAGCTCCTTGGAATGCTGAGGCAGAAGGATTGCCTGAGCTCAGCAGATCGAGGCTGCAGTGGCCATGAGTGTGCCACTGCACTCCAGCTTGGGCGACAGAGTGAGACTCCAACTCAAAAACAAAACAAAATAATAACAATGGGACTAATAGGTTATTTATTAAATCAAAGTGAATATTCATATTCTTATTTTGAAATTCAACTTATAAACATATGGACTTAGCAGCAACTTGGATGAATTTAGAGTCTATCATCCTCAGTGATCAATCACAGAAACAAAGATCAGAATACCATGTGTTCTCACTCATAAGCGGACCTTGAACAATTATCATAAAACTATAAGAAAGGGATTGGCAGTTGAGGGAAACTGCCAGGGGAGGGAGGGGCACACCTCGTCAACAAGGGTGCCTGCATAATCAACGTTTGTATACCTAACCCTGAATTGTACCCTACATCTTTATTTTAAAAAAGAAGAAAGAAATTCAACTTATTGTCATCTTAATCCAAGTCTCTGAGGCATGATAATTTAATCTAACTTATAGCACCACAGCACATAAAATCTTTGGTTTCTAAAGCTCAGGTTAGAAACATTTCCCCGGCAGACAGCTCTCTCATCGCTGTCAGGCCCACTGCTCCCTTGCAGTGTCTTCAGTAAACCTGTTTTCTGCTCTTAAAAAAGAAAAAAATTTCCCCCAAGAAAATAGGAAAGTTTATTTCATGCTTGACCCCAGAATCATGTAGCTGCTTATCATTAAATGGGAACCCCTCATCAACAGAAATACTGATTTTGTTTTAAAATGTTCCTTTTGGTAGTATATATATATATTTAGATAAATTGTTTTCTCTCTTTTTTTGACTCTTGGTTTTGTGGATTTGTTCCTGGGCCGTACCCCTCCAGATTCCCGACTTATTTTTCGGATTCTTTGTAGTGACGAAGTCTCACCATGTTGCCCAGGCTAGACTCAAACAATCCTCCTGCCTCAGCCTCCCAAAGTGGTTGCTTCTTTATGAAGCATTTTAAATTTCAGAGTTTGTGGCCAGGCTTGGTGGCTCAGCCTGTAATCCCAGCACTTTGGGAGGCTGAGGTAAGTGGATTGCCTTAGCCCGCGGGTTCGAGACCCACCTGGGCAACTTAACAAGACCTCATCTCTACAATAAAATAAAAAATTAGCCGGACATGGTAGCGCGCGCCTGTAGTTCCAGCTACTTGGAGGGCTGAGGCGGAAGGATTGCCGGAGCCTGGCAGGTTGAGGCTACGGTGGCCGGGAACGGCCACTGCACTCCAGTCTGGGTGACAGAGACTGCAACTCAAAAAAAAAAAAATTTCAGAGTTTGTTATTATGGAGAGCTTCAAATGTACATAAACTTAGAACATAGAACTTGCATGTGCTCACCGCCCAGTTCCACCAATCACGGCCAGTCTTGGCCCGTCCACTTACCCTGCCCTCTCCCGTGTTGCCATGAAAGAAATTCCCAATGTGGCGGTTTCAACATTTCAGCATTTAGGATGTTTTAGCACGTGTCTCCAAGCATCCGAATACTTTTTTAAAAATTCGCAATAATATTTCATATCTAAGAAAAACTCAAATCTTTCATCATAAAATATCCAGGATTCAAATTTCCAATTGTCAACGTCATGCGTTTTAAGTTGAAATTAGGACCCGCGTGAGGACGGTACACCACAGGTGGTCATTGTCTCCCGTGTCTCAGCCGTTGAAGCCCCCTGTATCTTTCTCCCCAATGATCTGTTGAGGAATCCAGGCCGTCTGCCCTGAAGGGTGTCCCTGTCTGGATTTGGCTGACCTCACATCTGCACAGGTTCTCCTGCCTGCTGTGTCCCTGAAGGTCTGGGCCATCTGCGGCTCCATCGGATTCCGGTGGCTCCTTCTAGTGAGACAACTCGCTGTGGTGGGGGCGCTCCAGCCAGAGGCACCTGACAGCTGGCTGCATCTTCATGGCAGAGGGCAGCCACGGGCACCTGCTGCTGGTTCACAAAGAGCTGCCAGATGCTGGGATGGCAGCAGGAGCAGGCCGTGGCTGCAGTCAGCTGTGGTCGTGCCACACTCCGGCCTGGGAGACAGCTTGAGACCTTGACTCAAAAAAAAAGGAAGCAGTAGGTGAACAAGTAAGCTGTGGGACAAGAGGCAGTGGAGTATCACTCAGCACTAAAAAGAAAGGAACGATCGAGCCACGGAGGGAATGTTCACGGATACTGCCAGAAGGAGGGTAGTTGGAAAAGGCTCCGCCCTGAGATTCCAGCCATGCAGCATTCTGGAAAGGGCAGAACTACGGAGACCAGAGACAAAGGAGGGGTGATGGGAAAGAGTGGCCGACTTGTGATTTTCAGGAACACGAAACTACTCTGATACTACAGTGACAGACATGCCGTTGCGTGTTTGCCCAGACTCGCAGAACGGATCCTGGCGTAGACTGTGGACTTCAGGTGGCAACGACATCAGTGCAGGCTCGTGGGTGACCCCGCATGACTAAGGTGTGGCCCTGCTGGAGCAGTGGAGGCCGTGTGTGGGCCTCCACGCAGTTTTGCTGCAAGCCTAAAACTGCTCTAGTAAATGGCGTCTACCTTTAAACAAATGTGATGACAAAGGTTTTTGGAATATAAGCAAAGTGTTGGTTGTCATCACGTTGCAAGGTGCACACCCCAACCCTCACTGGGGTCTCACAGTGCTCCTGATGGTCATACCTGTGAGGCCTGAGCCGGCTGGGCTGTGGCCAACCGAGGCTGAGGTCTAGAATAGGCAGGCCCGTGTCCCGTTCAGATCGGTGCCACACACCTTCATTCTGGGCGCCCAGGCCGAAAGCAGCTCCTCAGTGCACACTGCCCGCAGATGGCAGTGTGCCACCCACACCACCAGGTGCCCTTCGAGCCCGTGGATGCCTCGTCCAGCTGGCCAAAGCCGGTCTTGAGGCAGGGCCAGGCTCAAGGGGCAAGTTCGCCCTCGGCAAGGTGCAGAGCCGGAATCCCATCAAGGGCTGTGCATCGGGGCAGCCTCCAGGCTGTCTCTGAGGCTGAAACCCGAAGGGTACCATGGCCTCCCCGGAGTCAGGATGGCCCCAAAAGCGCCCAGAGCGCCAGCTGCTGAGCGTGGGGAATGACGCCCCGAGGCAGACCCAGCAGCGTGGTCTCCGTCTGGACGCTGTGAAGGAGAGCGCAGACAAGTATTTTCCCGACATGCACCGAAAACCGTTGGCTATGGGGCTGGGGTTGGCTTTGTGATGTCTCAGGCGAGCCTGTGACTTGCAAAGAAGTTCCTGCTGTCTTCTAAAAATGAATATGTACTTTTTCTTTAAGCTCACTGAAAACTGAGGCTAACCTGGAAGTTTTGAAGTCAATACCTAGTGAAAGGCTAATGATTGAGACCGGTAAGTTTGCTTGCAGAATTCTGTTTCATGTTAAGCCATGCCCCCCAAAAAACAGCTGGAGAAAACTTCAGATTTACTGAAGTGAACAAACAGATCTCTTTATTTATTTATTTACTTGGAGTCAGAGTCTCCCTCTGTCGCCCAGGCTGGGGTGCAGTGGCACGCTCATGGCCACTGCAGCCTCGACCTGCTGGGATCAGGTGATCCTTCCACCTCAGCCTTCCAAGTAGCTGGAACAACAGGTGCACACCCCCACACCTGCCAGAATTTTTATTATTTAGCATAGAGTTGAGGTCTCACCAAGTTTTTTTTGCCCAGGCTGGTCTCGAACCCTTGGGCTCAAGCAGTCCTCTCACCTCGGCCTCCCAAAGTCTTTCTTGGGACTGTAGGTGTGAACCACCATGCCCAGCCAACAGATATCTTTAAATGGCACACTCAGCCTCAGCAGTTAGGCTTTCCAGACCTGCGGGGCTGTCATCAGCTAATGGTGAAATACACAAGGATGTTTTTCAATTTCAGAAGTTTGGTGGAGCCTAGGCACTTACAAAGTGGGCTATCAGGATATGTGACAGATCAGCAGGTCGCAGTTGTGGCTGTTTAGCAAAGAAGGGTCTCGACTAAGCATTTCACACCTCAGGATTTTGTTCACACGTATCTTTATAATGGCTTGATTCTACAGCACCTTTTTTTGGAGTTGGGATCTCCTTTGCTGCCCAGGCTTGAGTGCGGTGGCACAATCGCGGCTCACCGAAGCCTTGACCTCCTGGGCTTGGGGGATCCTTACCCATCAGCCTCCAAGCAGCTGGGACAGGCACGTGCCACCATGCCCAGCTAATCTTTTTTTAATTGTTATTGATTGTAGAGATGAGGTCTTGCCCAGGCTGGTCTTGAACTCCTGGGCTCAAGCGATCCTCTTGCCTCGGCTCCCAAAGTGCTGGGATTCCTGGCGCGAGGTACTGCACCCCACCTAATTCTGCAACACTTTTTAAAGCACAAAAATTTAAATCGAATTGGTTTAGTGTAAGTTCAGAACCTGCTGACTTTTTTTCTTTTTAGTTGGAGTCACTCTGTCGCCCAGGCTGGAGTGCAGTGGCACACTGACGGCCACCGCAGCCTCAACCTGCTGGGCTCAGGCGATCCTTCCGCCTCAGCCTTCCAAGTAGCTGGAACTGTAGGTGTGCACCCCCATGCCTGGCTAATTTTTTATTTATTGTAGAGATGAGGTCTCACCAAGTTGCTCAGGCTGGTCTCCAACCCATGGGCTCAGGCAATCCACTCACCTCAGCCTCCCAAAGTGCTAGGATTGTCGGCGTGAGCCACCGCGCCCAGCAAGAATCTGTTGACTCTTAAAATAAGACAAAGTTAAAAGCTAAAACTTTTATCTAAACTCTCTCCTCATTCCATGACTTTAGGAAAGTCAAGACCGAGCCATTCTGGAAAAATGTTCATTTCCTTGGGCAGTCATAAAACGAAATGATTTTATTTAAAAATACAATGCTTGCTGGGCTCGGTGGCTCACCCTGTAATCCCGTGCTTTGGGAGGCCGAGGTGAGTGAATTGCCTGAGCCCGCAGGTTCGAGACCCGCCTGGGCAACTTGGCGAGACCTCATCTCTACAATAATCAAAAAATTAGCCGGGCGTGGTAGCAGGCGCCTATAGTTCCAGCTACTTGGAAGGCTGAGGCGGAAGGATCGCTGGAGCCCAGCAGGTCGAGGCTGCGGTGGCCGGGAGCGGCCGCTGCACTCCAGTCTGGGCGACAGAGTGAGACTCCAACTCAAAAAAAAAAAAAAATACAATGCTTGTAAAATGTGTAAGCTACTCTAATTCTTTTTTTTTAAATAGGTTAAGTATTCAGAAACCACTGTTTTGTATTCAGCAGAGACTACAGAAAACATTTAACTTAAATGTTTTCATGTTACAACTGTATTTCTTTTAGGTCCTTTTTGAAAAGCATGCTACCCACCAACAATAATGTTAGCAGAAAAAAATTAAGTGTCTTAGCATTAAAGATGCAAGTCATGATTCACCTTGTGCTTTTTCTTAGAGCTATTTTCCGTTGCATTAATTTTGCCATTTTGGAAGCTGGGCCATGGCTTATAGCTTAGAGGTTTATGTATTAGTTTGACAATGGTCATAGAAACCAATTTTAAAGGTAAACCCCTTAAGATACTATTCTCTTTGCTCACCTCCAGATGCGCCTTGGTGTGGAGTCAAGAGTACCCATGCTGGATCCAAATATGTAAAAACGTCATTTCCTACCAAAAAGAAATGGGAAAACGGGCATTGCTTGAAAGACAGAAATGAGCCCTGCCATATAATGTGAGTGTTTCGTTTCACGGTCTTCGAAATCCTCAGTGTCAGCCCCTGAATGCCATTTCCAAAACGAACTCAGGGACGGAATCCACGTCTGGTGAAGCCCGGACGACGCTCAGGTCAGAGCCTGCCGTCTTCAGGCCACCGTCTGGCAGAACCGGCACCTGAGCTGAGCTGTCCCGGGGCCTCTTTCTCATCCTCTCGAGCCAAGTGGCTTGACCGTAGCAGGGGGAGAGGAATGTGATGCTGGTCGCCTGTCATTTCGTGAGAAGAGGAATTTGCTTTTTGAGACAGGGTCTCATTCTGTCACCCAAGCTGCAGTCCAGGGACCCGTCTCGGCTCAAGTGATCTTCCTGCCTCGGGTGCCCCAGGTGTACACCCCCATGCACAGCTAATGTTTTAACATTTTGAAGAGACGAGTCTCACTGTATTGCCCAGGCTGGTCTCCCGGCTTCCGACAACCCTCCCGCCTTGCCTCGCAAAGTGCTGGGACAACAAGGGAACGATTTTAAAGCCATCCATTCATTTAGCACTGTCCCTGGTTTAAGTTTTATTCTCACGCATGCAGTTTCCTTGGTAGCAGGCAAGCCTTAGCAGACCTCTTTGTTAATGGTGTCTGCATTTTAAATGATTTGACAACTTGAATAGAACTAAGAAATAACAGGTTTCTAAGGACAAGTGACAAGATCTCCTTTCCCCAGCCAAAAATAAAAAAGGGGGAGGGGGGAGGCTGGGGTAGGACTTCGGAGCATCTTGTTGCCTAAAAATCCACTTGCGAGACAAAACTTCCAGGCACTTCAGAAGGTAGACTGGGAACGGAGAATCCTCGCGTCTCCACCGCAGTCGTGAACCTTCTGTTCTGCAGTCGGATGAGTGGAAGAGCTTGGGATAACCAACAGGTGCAACAAGCCAAGCGTTTTCAGTTCCCATTTCAAAAATATCCCTGCCTCTAATCACTCGTTATGAAGTAGCGAGTTAAGTCCACTTTAAAGCCATTTTTATCAACTTCTGTCATGTTGCGGTTATTTTTATCGAGGTCGTTCTTGGAGGCGTGAATGCTGTGAAACACTGTTGAGCCCCTGCCCTGTCAGGAATGGTGCAGGTTACTAAGGCCACACAGAAGCACCGAGGCAGCCCCTGCCCTCACCCGCCCACCTGACGCACAGGGCGCTCTGCCGGCGCTTCGGAGAAGGCATCCCGCGAGGCACACGAGGGCCGGCCCTCCCCGGGGCGCAGGCAAGCAGGGGCCCGATGGCAGTGCCGGCACAGAGGTGCGGGCGAGCGGCAGGAGCCTCGGGCCGGCCGCCTCTACCTTGAGGGAACAGGAGCGCGCCTGAGGAGGGCGGCACTGAGCCGCGGACTCCGCGTGCCGGGAGTTGGGCCGGACCAGACCACATCTTGAACACAGGTGGGCCGCAGAGGGCTTGGCTGCCCAGGGACAGTGAGTGCAGTGTGGCAGAAAGCAGGCCGCGGGGTGTAAGTGGAGGGCAAGTCTGGGTGAGCAGAGGGAGGCCCGATAGCGGGGGCTTTGCATGCCAGCCGTGGCTTAGATGTTGTGAGGACCCGAAGGACTGCAAGCAAGAGAGGGGCAGTTCTTCGGGGGGTCGCGGTATCCCTGTTACCCAGGCTGGAACGCAGTGGCATGACCACAGCTCCCTGCAGCCTTGACTTCCTGGGTTCAGGTGATCCTCTTACCTCAGCCCCCAAGTAGCAGGGAATACAGGAACGCACCACCACAACCGTTTTTTGTTTTTGTTTTAGTGCTAAGGTCTGTGTTGCCTAGGCTATCCTCAAACTCCGGGGCCCAAGCAGTCTTCCCACCTCGGCCTCCCAAAGTGAGAGGGTGACAGGTGTGAGTCACTGTGCCCAGCTGACAGTTGCTTTTGTTTTCTTAAGGTTATGCCTGGTATCGATGTAGGGAAGGGGGGGAAAAGAGATGGTGGCAAGAATCATATAGGTCTCACAAGACTTTTAAAAACCTGTGCTCAGTGCAGAAGTGAGTGCCACGTTAAACAAAACCCATTAAATTCCCAGGGAGCCGGGCTCGGTGGCTCAGCCTGTCATCCCGCGCCTTTGGGAGGCTGAGGTGAGTGGAGTGCCTGAACCCGCAGGTTCGAGACCCGTCTGGGCAGCGAGACCTCATCTCTACAATAAATCCAAAAATCAGTGGGCGTGGTAGCGCATGCCTGTAGTTCCGGCTACGTGGAAGGCTGAGGTGGAGGGACTGCCGGAGCCCAGCAGGTCGAGGCTGCGGGGGCCGGGAACAGCCACTGCACTCCAGTCTGGGCGACTGAGTGAGACTCCAACTCAAAAAAAAAAAAAAAATTCCCAGGGACACTAAACTTTGTATTATTTTTGGAATAACTGTAGCTTAAGCCGCTGAAGATATATGGCAATGGCGTGGATGCAGGAGTCGTTCCAAGAGTGCCATAACTTTGTGTTGTCAAATCTACTAAAATAGGATGTTCTGAGCCCCAGTGGACTTCCCACAGTTTCTCAACTTGAATAGCGATTTTGCCATCCAGTCTGTCACCACAGCAAAGCTGTCGCGAACTTCAAAACTCTGTGTCAGCAGCAGCACCAGAGCGCTCCCAGTGTGAGTGGTACTGCGAGAAGTGTTGCAGTATCTTCATTCAAATGTCTGTAGATTTGCTTTTAGCATCTTCTGACCATAAGGTCACAGAAACTTAATATCATCAGTTTGGTACATTTACCAAGCAGGGCTTTTGTGCCACTACTACAGAGCAACAGGAAATTCCCGTTCGTCTTAAACCTCCACTCCTGATTCCTGTTGGGTATTTCCCTTAAAATACCCATTAAGGGAACAAAAGCGTAGGCGAGGAGTAATTTCATTGTTGAAGTTTCACTTCAAAACTTTCTAATTCAGCGGCCCAGTGGCTCACGCCTGGAATCCCAGCACTTTGGGAGGTGGAGGCGAGAGGATTGCTGAGCCCAGGGTTCGAGACCAGTCTGGGCAACTCGGCGCAACCTCGGCTCTACAGTAAGTCAAAAACGCAGCTGGGCGTGTGGCGCCCGCCTGTGGTTCCAGCTGCTTAGAAAGCCAAGGCAAAGCCGGGCTTGGTGGCTCAGCCTGTAATCCCACGCCTTTGGGAGGCTGAGGTGAGTGGATTGCCTGAGCCCGCGGGTTCGAGATCCGCCTGGGCAGCGAGACCTCATCTCTACAATAAATTTTTAAAAATCAGCCAGGTGTGGTAGTGCATGCCTGTAATTCTGGCTACTTGGAAGGCTGAGGTGGAAGGATCACCGGAGCCCAGCAGGCCGAGGCTGTGGGGGCCGGTAGCAGCCGCTGCACTCCAGTCTGGGTGACAGAGTGAGACTCCGACTCAAAAAAAGGCCAAGGCAGAAGGATCACCAGAGACCAGCAGGTCCCACTACACTCCAGCCTGGTGACAGTGAGACTCCGACTCAAAAAGCCTCAAACTTTCTAATGCACGTATAAAAACTATTCTGTTATCTGTAGTATTGCTAGGAAACATGACTGCTAACTATCATTCTAGGCCCAGAAACGGACATCTGGGCTGTTCTTGCAGGGAACAAGTACAGGAACAGAAAGTCCCCCGACCCCAGTCACCACACAGCTCCCTCCGTGCCGTCTTTTGGGGATGGCTCTCCAAGCAGTGGCTCTCCAGCCTCGACTGCTGTCCCCCGTACACCTGACCTCACGACTCAGTACAGACACAGACAGCCGAACCAAAAGCACGATGGTACTTACCTTGCAAAGTACGATATACTTTTACTTTTTAAAATGTTTTTCATGACCCACAATTTGAAAGTACTCTTTGGCCCAGCATGGTGGCACACACCTGTAATTCCAGCACTTTGGGAGACCAACAAGGTGAGAGGGTCACTTTAGCCCATGAGTTTGAGGCTACAGTGAGCTATGATCGGGGCTACTGCCCTCCAGCCTGGATGACTGAGTGAGACCCCCGTTCCTTTTTTGTTTGGCTTTTTTGTTGTTGTTTGTTTGCTTTTTGAGTTGGAGTCTCACTCTGTTGCCCTGGCTGGAGTGCAGTGGCATGCTCGCAGCCACTGCAGCCTCGACTTGCGGAGCTCAGATGACCCTTCCATCTCAGCCTTCCAAGTAGCTGGAACTACAGGCACACACTACCACACCCAGCTTATTTTTTGACTTATTGTAGAGACGAGGTCTCACCAAGTTGCCCAGGCTGGTCTCGAACCCCTGAGCTCAGGCAGTCCTCTCGCCTCAGCCTCCCAAAGTGCTGGGAATACAGGCTTGAGCCACCATGCCCGGCTAGACCCCATTTCTTATTGAAAATGACTTCGTTTCTACGGGGATGATTCCAGAACCGCACTGCGCATACTACAGAACGTTGCTTTAATAATTTCCTTGACCCTGCTTAGCTCGCAAGACAGCCCCAGAAATCTGTCACTAGTTACTGGCATTGAGTTCATTTTTTTCTGATGTCGCTGGAAACCTTAACTGTTGAGCTCTATCGTATTAAAGGCACTAATACAGTATCTTCCTTTATATGGAAAAGAAGATTATTGTATACCCTTAAAAACAGAGTGTGTACTTGGAGATGTAACCATCCATTTTTGTTTTGTTTTAGTCAAATACTGGAGATAATGTCAGCAGTAAGAGACGAGGACCCACTGGAATTAGCGAATTCGCTATATAACAACACCATTAAAGTATTTTTTCCTGGCATATAAAATTTTATGGTAAAACTTACTGACAGTTTCAATAAAGAAATTCTCTGAAGTTGTCTAAGGAGATATTATATATCACTACACGCTGTTTTTTCTTCCCCCATAAAATCAGGAGTTTTTAATGTCATTTGATGAATGCCTCAACTCAAAACAATGAAAATCCCCAACTGTTCATTGCGTAATCTCTTCAAAAGTTTAAAAGGGCAATCTTGTGGCAACACTGCAAACACAGAATGCTAACAAATACCCTGATTTTACATAAAAATCAAACAGCACATTCTGGTTTATATCAAAGTTTAGGTGACGTAAGTTTATTTCTCAATCTCCCAGTCTCCGAATCATGACTTTTGAACCTTGCTCAGCTGTGCTGTGACCCAGAAGGTTCTCAATTGCTTCTGGCAGGTTAATTTCTTGTTTAGTTTTAAAGTACGCTTAATATAGCCTTTATCCTCTGGTCTGAGTTATTTTGTTTCCTTGACTTTCGTGTGCTTTCCTGGTTTGCGTTTTCATTGTCCCTCCCATTCTAAAGAAAAACCAGGGTCCAGAGTCAGATACGTCACATGTAATTTCGTTAGAGAATCTTTGGCACAGTTGACGCACCGTACGATTACTCCATCTATTAAAAAGCTATCTGTTCAAATTCTGTCATGAAAACGTGAAAACATTTTATTCTATGTACAATAACGTACACAAATTTAAATAGGTCACCAGAGAGACCAGAAGTAACTAAAGAGGTATATTTACAGCAGCACGTCACAGTCAACGGAAAACCATTCACAGGGTCAACATGGATACTGTTTCTGTGCTCGGTCACACACAGAAGGTGACGTGTGTGACTCCGTTGGGGGCGAACTGAATTTTAAGCCAATACCTCAGTGATTAACGAATGCAAGGGAATCAGTTGGTGTCGTCCGTGAGCTCTGCCGCCGCTGGGCCTGGGGGCCGGGCCACCGTGCCCCGCTCCCTCTGCGCCTCGTCGTCGCCGCCGGTGCCGGCCCCTTCGCTCAGCTCCCTGTCCGACGCGGCAGCAGCGTCTCTTGGCGCTTCCCCGGGGTGGCCGTTGGGCGCGACGAGCCCGTTGTTGTTCGACACGTTCGGACGGCCCTTGGCATCGTCCTCGATGTGCACCTTCTGGTGGCACATGGGACACGTGTCTTGGATGTACAGCCATTTCCGAAGGCAAAGCGCGTGGAAGTAGTGATGACAGGGCGTGATGCGAGCCGATGTCGTGAACTCGTGGTAGCAGATGGCACACACATCGTCCACGTCTCGCAGGCGGCTGCCCTGGATCTCGGGCAGGGAGTTGATCTTCTTGACGGCAGTCCTGCGGTTCATGAACGTCTTCCAGCCGCTTTTGGCCTGTAGGTAGATGTTGAAGTAGGCGTGCAGGCACATCATGCAAGCCCGGATCTTGCTTCCCGACTCAAACACCATGGTGTAGGCCCCGTTCCCAAACATCACGACGCCAAACACAAACTCGAGGACGCTGCCTGTTGACCGGACGTAGTAGACGTAGTCGTCGAGCTGCTCCCAGAGGACGTTGTAGTAGCCGTCAGTCATGAACAACGTGTAGACAGTGAGGGAAACGATGACCTTCAAGCAGAGCTCCACGCAGAAGGCTGTCACCGCAAACAGCCACGTGTTCAGCGCGTAGTGATGCCACAGGACGTAGCTGAGGAGGACGGGGAGGAAGAGCAGGCAGGTGCAGACAAACAGCACAGGGAAGTGTCTACGCAACGACGACACATGCGAGGCACTGAGAGACATCAGCACGGGGTCGGTCATGCCGTGGATGAAGTGCAGCACGGCCGTCAGCAGAAGGCACATGTTTCTACTTAGGCGGACGAGTCTCTTCTCTGGCCTCAGCCCGCTCAGCCCCGTCTGAAGGGCCAAAATGAAAAACAAAACCGGGGCCACAAAGCCAAGCCGCCGGTCATCCTCCTCGTTCGATCCGATGAAGGCCAGGATGCCAAGCCCCAGATAGTGGGCGACTGAGGAGATGACCGCACTCATGCCCAGCACAGTCAGGGTGGAATCGCACCCGCTGATGATGAGGTTGCACACCAGGTCCCAGAAGTCGTCCCAAGAAAGGAAGGAGGAGTCTGCTTCACTTGCCACCCTCAGGATGTACACCAGCACCGCGGCCTGCGCCGTGACTCGCGTCAGCCAGAAGACGCGCAGGATGTCCGGGAAGCGCACCCTCTTCCACGTGTCCTCCATCAGCAGCTGCAGCCCGTAGATGCGATACATGTGCCTCACTAGAAGGTAAACATACAGCGTGGAGTAGTAAAACCACTTGAGCTTCACTGCCAGGACAAGCACTGTATTCAACGTGAGAACCAAAGAGGAGGTGAAGACTAGAGTCTCTCGGACGTGCAACGGCAGCTCTGTGATTAAGCCTATGGCAGGAACCAAGAGGTCCAAAATGATCAGCTGGGAGTAGACGGACTGAAGCTGGAGGAGGGTGATGTATCCAATGCCGAAGGTGAGCTGGAGAGCGATGAGGGCCATCCACAGCGAGGGACCCTTCCGCGGAAGCAGTTCGATTCCGAAAGCCGATGCGTTGTAGGCACCATAGAAATCGATGTGCAAAGAGGCGTAATAATTCACCAACACGGAAGTTGCAGCTAATAGAAAGGCTGAGCTGTACATGTAAAACTTGAAAAGTGACCGCTGTGACAAGATGAGAACAACACTGGATACAAATATACCTATAAAAAAGAAGAAGAAAGTCACGTGAATTAAACATTTTAGGAATATTTGCCCACTTAAGCCTCAAAACAATTTAGGCTTAAAGGCCAGTAAAGTTTTATGAAGTCAAGAGTTGAAGGGAACACACCAAACATACTAATTTTTAAAATCTCAACCCTTATTTTCTAATTTTCAAAGTAATTTAGGTAACACGATCTGTCCAGACACCCAATTACTAGATTATCTTCAAGACAAATCTGTAGCATACATACGTTCTAACATTATAAAACTCGAAAGAACAAGTATTTTATCATTTCATAATCATTAAAGACATTTGAAATTCCATCAAAAAACTTGAGTTAGAAATTAACCCAAATGGAAAACATTCGTTCCTATCAAGTTTTAGAATTCTTTTTCTTTTAGCATGCTTTAGGAAATCATGTTCACGCTTTACACCCCCACCTTATTCCTCAAACTGTGAACACACTCACGCCTGCTCTCATCTGTCCCGCTGCTTAAACCTGAGCATTCTCCAAGGGACCAAATTCAGTGTTTTTCTCCCCTAAATTCCTTCAGATTTCAAAAATGCCCTCCAAGTTCTCTTCCTCCTGTGCCTTGCTGAATCTGGCTCTTCAGATAGTCAACCCTTTGTATTGTTCTTCAATAAAAGTAAGATTTAGTTACGACAAAAGGTAACATTTAGAAAGCCAAAACATTACAAAATGGTAAGAGATTTCCCCCGTCCCACTCAATAGTAACCGAGGTGGAAACAGCCTGATGATGTGTGTCTTTGTTCCACATTATTACCCAAGGTGCAACCAGGGAATGACATCCAAACACTCACCTGGTTTCACTCCTACGTTGTCAAGGCAAAACGCCAAAGTTCTGAAGCCTAACCCTCCCTCACACCAGAACCGGCTTTCCCTTGTCACTCGCAATTTCACTGGAAGACGCCAGCATTCTTGTCAGTGGTGCTCCCAGCCCGATTCCCGCCAACTTCAGCAACTGCCCAATTCTGCTACCACCGCTATCTCCCTTTTCTCAGTGACACCAACCGACTGGCCTGTCCCTCAAAACCCATCTTGTCCAAATCCATCTACAAGCCATCACCGAACTGCCTTTCTTCAGTCCTTTGCTCAAAATACTTCCGCAGCTCTAAAGTTACTGTCAACTAAAATCGACATTCCTTGTCCTGGCTCTCAAGGATGAGATCTGCCTTGGAGTACTCCTCCTCCGCACCAGTGCTCCAGACTTGTGTTTCCCAGACACGTTCCTTTCTCTACCACAACTGCAGGAAGGTTTACAGTCCCCTGTGCTGGGAAGGACAGTCCTACCAACCTCCCAAATCCCTGACTGTTCCAATCCTGCCTATCCTACAGACACACTTTGATAGTCACCAAGTCCTCTGCATACCGGCAGACCTCAGTGGAACACCAACACATTCTACCCGAGCCTGTCGTTTGCAGTGATCTGAGTATCACCCACCCCATCACACAGCGTGTCCATGACAGAAAGCGAGGATCCTACAATAAGTTGTACTAAGTAAGCGCAGTTAGTCTTCACTGGAGAAAACAAACATCACATCTGGAGTATACTCTGAAAGGCCACCACAATACACCGTCTGACTAAAAATGAAATCCAGTTCAAGACCAGCTTAGGCAACATAGCAAGACCCCATCTTAAAAAAAAAAAAAGAAAAAAAAAATCCATGAAGACGCTGAGACAGCTAAGAAACCATAGCTTGGAGTACACAAAAGTGACACACTCCAAATTAAACATTCATTTACTCACCAGATCTCAGCAGATAATCAATAAAGGTGCTGCGTGGAAGCAACTCACAATCCATCCCAAGTGAAAGCAAGGGCTAGTTCTCTTAAGCGATGACCTTGCCCGGTGACTTGGCATTTATCCTGTGCCAAAGTGTCAAGTTGTTTGAGAGAGGAGCACAGGGACACAATCAACTGGAAGACACACAACCCTCGGCGTCAGAACCGCCTGACTCCCCAGGAAGGCAGGCCAAAAATCATCCCAGAGCTGGGAAAAGGCTCTTTCAGTAGAAAACAGATGTTTTGATTAGAAACTTTTTCCATGGAAGGTAACAGGAAGTGGAATAAACTCATGCCAGAAGTAACCTTACTTCCACGACACGGAAAAGCAAACAGTTTTCTAAGTTAGGTTCAAACCAAACCAAAGTCACGTTAGTTTTACTTCTTGCCACTTAAAAGGGAGAAAGACGCAGCTTCAAAAAAGAACGAAATCATGTCCTTTGCAGCCACCGAGTTGGAGCTGGGATCATCGTCCTAAGTGAACTGGCTTCGAAAACCAAATGCCACATGTTCTCACGCGTATGTGGGAGCTACATGGTCATGAGGACGGAAACAACAGAACCTGGAGACATCAGTAACGGGAGGAGGGCTAGGGTTCAGAAAACACCTACGGGGCCCCATGTTCACACCGGGAACGGCCACCTGAAACCCGATCCCCACACCACTGCACAGTATGTCCACGTAACAAACACGCTTGTGTACCCCGAATCTAAAGTCTTAAAAGGGGGCAGAGTCAAGTAGGAGTGTAAATTACTTTTGTCAACTTGTTATTCGCAAAGTGGCAAATTAATCTTTACCAGTGACTATTCATGAGCTTTGCCCTAGTTTTGTAACTAGTCCTTTCTGTTCTAATAAATTTTTTTCCTGAAGTTTATTTTTGCCCACAAATGAAGGAATAGTTTGGGCTTCAGCAACACTTCTGGAGAGGAAGTGCCATTCTGCTTTGTGCAGATGTGCCAAAGAAAAAGGGGAAGGCATAAGACAGACAAATAAGGTAGTGAGCCCACGACCTCAAAACCTGGGGGATTTCAGCAAGTAACAACCAAGCTGGGTGCAGTGGCTCACACCTGTCATCCCAGAACTTTGGATGGTGGAGGAGAGAAGATTGCCTGAGCTCAGGGGTTTGAGACCAGCCAGGGCAACTTGGTGAGACCTCATCTCTACAGTAAATCAAAAACAAGCTGGGCATAGTGGTGCGTGCCTGTAGTTCCAGCTACTTGGAAGTCTGAGACAGAAGAACTGCCTGAGCCCAGCAAGTCAAGGCTGCAGTGACTGTGAGCGTGCCCTCCAGCCTGGGTGACAGAGTGAGACTCCAACTCCAACTCCAAAAAAAAAAAAAAGCAAGTAACAGCCTGATACTACTCTTTCCTGGTTAAAACCACATCCCTAAATGTAATAATGAGCAAGCATTTCAAGAAAAGCCTGTGTCTGTTTTAATTCCTACCCAAAGTTCATAGTACAGGGGTTTACGAATTTTCCTTTTTTTTTTTGAGTTGGAGTCTCACTGTTACCCAGACTGGCGTGCAGTGGCCGCTCCCGGCCACCGCAGCCTCCACCTGCTGGGCTCCGGCGATCCTTCCGCCTCAGCCTTCCAAGTAGCTGGAACTACAGGTGTGTGCTGCCACGCCCAGCTAGTTTTTGATTTATTGTAGAGATGAGGTCTCGCCAAGTTGCCCAGGCAGGTCTCGAACCCGCGGGCTCAGGCAATCCACTCACCTCAGCCTCCCAAAGGCGCAGGATTTCAGGCTGAGCCACTGAACCAGGCTACGAATTTTCCTTTTATACCCATGTTCCTATCTATGGAATGTGGGAAGAATCAGTTCTCACTCACAGGGGAAAAGCCAACTTCCCAAGTCATAAGTCTCCAAAGTCACATTCCCTGGCCTTTGGGAAGGAAGTACTGCTAATACCAAAGTTTCCTTGCATTTTCACAGTAGACATGAAACACTTCCTTGGTGTTGATATTGATCCTGTAGGTCCAATGAAATAAAGTCTGGGATAGTTCTCATGAGGACTTATAAGTGACCTGCATAATCAAGGCTGTTTATAAAAGCTGCTTTATACAGCAATAAGACCTTGGAATACCAGAGAACAGAATTAACTGAACCACAGCTCAGGGGTCTCAGTCTAATTCTCCAGAGATCGGAGAACTTCACTAAAGTTATCAAGGCAGGAAGAGGCAGAGGCAAGTATTCAGATCAATTTAGGAACTTTGAAACTATAGATGAACTCAAGTAAGAACAAATTAGAGGAAAAAACTTCCTGTGCATGTTACACAACCAACAGTTTAAATCTTGTATGTGTAAATCCATTCACGCCCTTAACCTCTTCTAGAAACTTACCAGTAAGAATTAAAAGGATATAAAACATAACACAACTCTCCAAGTACCTTAAATACATTTAAAATAAAAAGCTGTAGAAACACGTTTCAATACCTGATAGAATAAACACGGAAAAGCACAGAAATAGCGATTACTACTACCTTACGCCCAAGGAGCCTTAAGCAATGAGATTCAGGACAATAAAATATCTTGAAATGTTCATGTGGTCTCCTTAATACATACAGAATAAAGAAAAATGTTCTACTGAACTCTCATTTTAATTAAAAAACAAAAAAACTGGCATTTTAAGTAGTTTATTAATAATATGAAATTGGGCAAGCCCTTTGGGTCCCCTCCCACTGTGGGAGCTTTTGTCCTCTCAATAAATCCTGCTTTCAAAAATACTACTACTACTACTAACACTAAACTAAAATGTGCTTTGAAACTAAAATTATGACAATGTGTTTTTATCAAAAAATATGTGAACATGGATTTTAAAAAGTTAAACGCTAGAGAGGTACCAAAGAGTTAAGCATGTTCTTCTAGTCTGCCTTCCTAACCTGTGACATTGTGAAAAATGTATCTGGTCTCTGTCCCCCTTCTTGATGGGGCCCCCAGGACTCTCTGGAGTGATAAGAGTGCCTCCTACAACAAAGAGGTGGCTGGGGCGGTTGCCAAGGGAACCAGCTGTGGGACTGAGGGCTTAGCTTTCATTCCTAGGCCCACCCCTGCCTCTGGGGAGGAGAGAGGGGCTGAAGTTGAGTCCATGAACCCACAGCGAAGATCTGATCAACCAGCTTCCATAAACACCCAGATGGCTGCATGCCCTCCCCACCGGCTGTCCGACGGTGTCCTCTGTAATAGGCTTTGTAATTAAATAGGTAAATATGGGTCCAGCACCCCCTTACCCGAGGCTGCACTTTCCATGATTTCATGACCTGTGGCCTGCTGAGGTCCAGAAATATTACATAGAAAGTTCCATATGACAACAATTCCGATTTTAAACTGCACACTGTTCTGAGTAGTGAAACGACATCTTGCGCCGTGCTGCCTGGCCAGGGGCACGAGGTGTCTGTGTCCAGCAAGTTACCCCATTTCTGGGGTACTGACTCCAGCACATGAGACACTAAGGGCTGTCTGGGTTTTCAGATGGATGGTTGGCATCACACTGTGTTCACATAACCCTTATTTTGTACATTACATTGCGTCACAGGTGTGTATGTATAGACATGGACTGGTACAATGCTCAGTTTCAAGGTACACGCCCAAGGAAAAGAGGGGCCGTAAAGTGTTCTCCTGAGTTCTATGAGGGGCTCTAGCGAGAAAACTGAACCCCAAAACGGGGTCTCGGTCAGAAGCACAGCACACACCTGTGCCTGTGACCAGCACCTGAAGTGGTGGCAGTCTTGTGGGACTGAGCCTTCCACCTGCCAAATCTGATGATGGAGATATCCAGATGGACGGTGTTAGTACTGAATTAGAGGACACCCAGCCGTTGTCCACGGCAGAATCTGCTGCAGGACTGGCTGCTGCGGGGGAGAAATTTCACACACACATTGGATCAGAGGGGAAGTATTCTGGGTTCGCCATGTGAAAATAGGAAAAATACTGTGTATTCTTCTATATCATTACATGACCTTAGCAGCGCCAAAGAAGTAGAACCATTTTTGAAGTTCCTTGTGTATCCTGACAAATTACTGAACACGCTCATACATAAATACACATATTGGTACATATTCTATATTGGCGATCTGTTCCTGGGCTAAGTACTCTGCATATTAGTCCACTGTCTATCAGAGTGGTTCTCAACCACCATGAGACCTTGCCCCCCAGGGGACATTTGGCAAAATCCAAAGACAGTTTTGGCTGTCACACTGGGCTGGGCTGGGGTGTGTGTGATGCTGGAACCCAGTGGGTGGAGGACAGGGGTGCTCCTGAGAATGGTACGATGCACAGAACAGCCCCTCCACAGAGAAGGACCCTGTCTGGAACACCGATACCGTCCCCACTGGGAAACCCCGGCCATTCCTATGCCAGTCATAATTCCCTCTGCTTCACTTTGCTTACTTCATAGGCTTTCTCAGGTCTTTCTGCAGAACCAAAAATAACTATCTCATTCCCTTCAAGAACATCATTGTATGATCTCATCTAATACAGTGGACAGACTCCCATCTACTACAAATTTAGATTAAATTAGCTGTTTTGTTATTTCCAATAACGCAGTAATGAATATCCCTGCCCACAGACTTTGAAGCTCTAGGCCAAATCCCTAGAACTGGAATTGTGATCAAAAGTTATTTAGTAAAGATCAGCTGACAGTACCAAATAGCTTTACACTAAAGTTACAATCTACCAAAACCATATAAACTCACCTACTTTTTTTTTTTTTGAGTCAGGTCTCACTCTGTTGTCCGGGTTGGAGTGCAGTGGCATGATCAGAGCTCACCACAGCCTCAAACTCCCAAAGTGCTGGGTCAAATTTGCCTATTTCAAACAGGTAAAAACCTTTGGCAAACTGATCAAACTCTAAACTCTTCACCAATCTAATAAGATTTTGTTCTGACTGTATTTAATTACAAGTGAGAAACAGTACTTTTCCTTTTGCTCATTAAACATCTGCACTTTGTTTACTGTGAAATGCTTGTGTTAGGCCCACTTTTCTAAGAAGGGTGGTCTAACTTTTCTTGCAGAGTAAGTAAAACTCTTACTAGAACTTTAGTCACATATGATGCAAATATTTTGTCATTTCAAAAGATTTTTTTAAGGCCAGACACGGTGGCTCACACCTATAATGCCAGAACTTTGGGAGGCTGAGGTGAGAGAGCTGCCCTACCTAGCCTATGGGTTCGAGATCAGCCTGAGCAACTTGGTGAGTCCTCATCTCTACAGCAAATCAAGAAAAATTAGCTGGGCGTGGTGGCGCACACCTGTAGTTCCAGCTACTTGGAAGACTGAGGCAGAAGGATCACCTGAGCCCAGCAGGCGGCGGCTTGTGGTGGCCAGTAGCGTGCCCCTGCACTCCAGCCTGGGCAACAGAGTGAGGCTCCAACTCAAAAAAATCAAAAAAAGATTTTTTTAAAGTCTTGCCATAAAAAAAGTTTTTTCATTTTTATGTATGCTAAGTGTATCAGACTCTCCCTTGTAATTTCTGAGTCTTCTGTTTACAAAGTCCTTTCCCCACCTTGAAGAATTATCACCCTATGAGTAATGCTATTAAAACGAACCATCTATGCTTGCATTTCGGCCTCGGATTTACACCTGCTAGTTCAGCATTGTGCCGCTCTGGGTGCGTTTCACTCACCATTTACCAGCGCCTCGGAAACAGCTCTAGTTCTAAACGGTCTGCCCGTTGCCAGGGGATTTTGTTTGGCCCGCGAAGCGAGACCCTTTATGTTCCGACCTGCTGAGGTTTCAAGGTTTGGCTCCAGTCAAGGAACTTTTTGTGGGTGGGAGAGAGCAGCCGCTTCGAAAACCACACAGCACAGGGAAGAAGCTTTTCGCCTAGAGACAGACTTGCATTTTCAACACTAAGGGTGAGGCCGGCGAGGTGACGCCAACGGCCGCGTGAACCCGTCCCTTGCCATCCACACTGGCTCTCACTCCGGGGGAACTCTGGGCACCAGACCCACGTCGCCGCTGTTGCGGCTCCTCCGAGCGGGAAGAAAACCGCACAACTATGCGGCACGACGGCGGAACGGCCAGGCGGGCGGCCCGAGGCGACGTTCCGCGTTCCTCCCCACCCCTGGCCCGGAGCTTGCGGCGCCAAAGCCTCCGAGTGGCCTTCTGCTGACTTCGGAGGACCCGAACGTCCGACCGAGCGCGGTCCCCGCCGAC